ATTGCTCATCCTTCTTCGATTTGCAATGGTTGTTGTGGGTGGAATTATGTGTGGAATTTCACCCCTTTGTTCTTTTGGCTGTTGGTAGAGAGGGATTCTCTAATGCCTATGTTTTTCTGGTTGTAGTTAGCTTCCTTGGGTTAGAGTTTTCCTTCCAAAATTTTCTGTAGGGCTGGGTTAGTGGATCCGTATTGCTTGAATCTAGTTTTGTCATGGAATATCTTGTTTTCTCCGTCTATAGTGATTGAGAGCTTTGCCGGGTATAGTAGTCTGGGCTGGCATCTGTGTTCTCTTAATGTTGGTAGAGTATCTATCCAGGATTTCTGGCTTTCAGAGTTTCCATGGAGAAGTCAGGTGTAATTCTGATAGGCCTGCCTTTATATGTTACTTGACTTTTTTCCTTAGCTGCTCTTAATATTCTTTCTTTATTCTGTATATTTGGGGTCTTGATTATTATGTGGCAAGGGGATTTTTTTTGGGCCACTCCATTTGGTGTTCTGTAAGCTTCTTGTACCTTCATTGGCATGTCTTTCTTAAGGTTGGGAAAGTTTTCTTCTATGATTTTGTTGAATATGTCTTCTGCCCCTTTGAGGTGGTTTTCTTCTCCTTCTTCTATACCTATTATTCTTAGGTTTGGTCTTTTCATGGTGTCCCATATTTCCTGGATGTTTTGTGTTAAGGATTTGTTGGACTTAAGGTTTTCTTTGGTTGATGAATCCATTTCTCCTAGTGTATCTTTAACATTTGAGATTTTCTCTTCCATCTCTTCTATTCTGTTGGTAATGTTTGTATCGATAGTACCTGACTGTTTGCCCAGCTTTTCTATTTCCTGCCTTTCTTCAGATTGTGTTTTTTTATTGTCTCTATTTCAGTTTTCAATCCTTGCAGTGTTAGCATTGCTTCTTGCAATTTTCGGTTTATTTTTTCGTCCATTTGTTGCCTTTTATGAATTTTTTGGTTTGTTCTTTCTTTCATTTCTTGCATTTTTTGGTTTGCTTTTTGTTCCTTTTCTTGCATTTTTGCTTTGTTTCTTCTTCCATTTCCTGCCTTTTTTGGTTTGTTTTTTCTTCCATTTCTTGCATTTTTTGGTTTGTTTTTCTCTTCCATTTCTTTGAGGGATTTTCCAATATCCTCTTTTAGGGCCTCTATGATTTTCATGAAAATGGTTTTAAGGTCGTTCTCTTCTGCTTCATTCGCAGTGGAATGTTGGAGTCTTGCTGGTGTGGAGTCTCTAGAATCTGGCGGTGTCATATTTGTTTTTCTGTTGCTGAGTGTGTTTTTGTATTGTCTCTTTCCCATCTCTTCTTCTAGTGGGTGCAGAAAGAGCCCCTTACTGGTCTGGTGGTTAGGGGACCAGAGTTCCCTTTTGGTGGGTGGTAGCAAGTCCAATAATCTTGTGGTTCTTCTATTCCTTGTCCTCATTCTGGTCCCGTTGGATGGAGAAGAGGAACAGGAATCTGGGGTGCTTAGCCTCCTACCTGGTGCCCTGGACCCTATGCTGGATCCTGTTATACCTGATCCTGTGGCTGGAACAGCTGCTCCCCTGGTCTCCCTGGCTCCTCTGGTTTCCTGGTCTCGTTGGTGGGAGAGAAGACCTGGAGTCTGGGGTGCTTGGCTCTTGTCGGGATTGGAAGCTCTGTGCAGTTCCCAGGCGATCCACAGGCACTGCTCCTCTTCCCTTTCTTTTAATCACATTTATCCTTCTCTCCCTCCTCATCTTCTTCCCTCCTCCCTCTTACTTCCTCCTCTTGCCTTTTCAGATAGGGTTTCATGTAGCTTCAACTGACCTTGAAGTCCATTTGCTGCTGAGGATGACTTTGAACTCCCAATCCTTCCAACTCTACCTCCCAAGCAATCATCAGCTGGAGCAATCGCGTCATGTGATTGTCTCTGTGTCAAGGTGGTCCAGGGCACACCAACTATCACAATGTGTTTAGAAGACTGTCCTAGGGTCATCTCGTCAAGCAAGACTAGGCCACTGCATGGCACATGAATATCACTGGCTGTCCGGTTTTTCCACTGAGTTAAATTCAGCCCCACATTGAGATACCAGAGCCTCTTTGAACTTTATCTCAAATGTCTTTCTGCAATTAGTGTCACAATGCGGTAAGAATAAGGTATCTGGAGAAAAGGTGACCTGGGTTTGGTTTTAACTTTGCTGTGACTTAAACTCAGTCACAAAAAGAACAATTTCTCCTAGTTTTAAGGTACTCATCTATGATACTTGTATAAATCATACCTCATAATGCTGTTTTGGTATCCAATAAGATAATACATTTTGAGTAATTGGTATAATTCTTATAATTAAAAATGGCTGCCTATATGATACTTTCATAATTCCTGTTTTGGTTCAGACTTCAAGTTTTTAATTGTCTTTTGTATATTCTGTAGTTCTGGTTCAAATATCTTCTTGGTCCTTGTTAGACAAAATTCCATTTTGTCTTCTTCAATTGCCAATGAAATTATTTATTCTTTCCCAGTCTACTACAGAAATAATAGTGGTATTTTTGTTTTATTTTTAAGAAAGGATATGAAAGATGGTGCTTAACTCTAATTTCAGTGTCTATAGTGATTTCCGATATTGATTCACTTGATTTGTTATTTTGTACTGGACATTCATAAACAAAACAACTATTCTATTGACGGTAATTAATCAGAATTTCAGCTTGCAAATGAAGCAATATATGTCCTGAATGGAACGCGTGATGATAAAGAGAAGCATTGTCTGTTTATTGTCGTTACACAATAGATAAGATTTTCAGAATTTGTGTGTCTGAATTCGTGGATGAAAACCCTCCCTGAGCCAATAGTCAAATGACACTTTCACTTCCCAGTGCATATGCTTTTATTGAAGAAAAGTATAAAACATCAGCATGTTTAGTACTGTGTTGCAATCAGAAGTATCTAATCCCAAAGAGGAGAATTTTTCAAAATAAGTTTTTGAATAAATTTATAAGTATTGTCATAGTCTAAATGCTTTCCTTTCTCCCAAGACTTTTCCAAAGGAGCCTGTTATTCCATCTTCTTGAGGCCATTAAAGTATATGCTATTATGCTTATTTATTAAAATGTGTTGCCTAGGCTTTCAGGGTCTATATCAAGCCTGAATGTAAATGTGACAGCAAGTTTACTTCCTAAACAAATACTCCAGCTCTTGCTTTATCCATTTTATTTGCTTGAGAAGATCTTCAAAAGCAAGCCTACTCCAGAAACTTGAGTTGTGTGTGCTAGACTTGACCACCTCAGCGTGGTGAAAGTTGTGTGTGCTAGTCTTGACCACCTCAGCGTGGTGAAAGTTGTGTGTGCTAGTCTTGACCACCTCAGCGTGGTGAAAGGCTTGCTGCTGACTGCCTGCAGAAAGAGGAAGTGAAGTGCTGTTGATCCTGAGTTCACAGACACTCTGGAGTGGAGGAAGGGCCCAGCATGGGATGAATCTCCTCTTTTGAAACCACACTGATAAAGCTTAAAGAAGAAAACATTCACAGACATTTTCCTTATCTTCTCATGTTTGGGTCTGTTTTATTTTTATTTCTCGAATTTCATAATTGAATGAAAAACAAAGGGAAAAAAAGGAGGAGGAAAAGGTGTGGTGGAGGAGAAGGCTTATTGCTGATAAAAGGGAGAGCCCAGCCGTAGGCAGGGACATCTGGGAGAGCCCAGAGTGGACACTGCCAGCACACCAAGCTGAGTCATGTGTGGGGCTGAGGGGAACCAGGAGACCAGGACGTCAGATAGGGTAAAAAGGACTGGTATAACCAAAATGTCTGAATTATTCAGGGAAGAGCACCTGGGGGAGGTGCAACCCTGTCCCTAGTTCCTGGGCTGGAGAGTTCAGGGTAGAGATCATTGTATGCCAGCCACACCCTGTAATTGGTACGAACTGAGGGATGCTGAGAGAACCTGGCAGCCAGGTTCCTTCTGATATAATAAATAGGCACCTCAGTTAGCCATTTGTCCCGGGCTTGTAAAACTGTGTTTTGAGTCCTGACTGACTGGCGCTTTATATTTAATGATTTACTAGCTGTTCACTGATGTCTAGAATCTTTGGCCCAGTAGAATGCAAGCATCAAGAGGGAAATACCCACGTTGGGATATGTCAACAAGAGCATAGGAGCCATTCTGTGGTCAGCTAACCCCTGGGTATTGCTCATAAGACAGCTATGGAACCAAAGCTATTGGGCTGCTCCATGGAGCTCACCAAATTATAAAGCAGAGAAATGCAGCTGATCCTTTGATGGGAATAATCCCAGATGACTGTCACAGTATGTGATATTTGAAAATGACTACAAAATATTCCAGGTACATAATTACCCAGTCGTGAGTGAGGACTCCTCTGCTGTGGTGATGTCTTAGCCTCTTTGCATGTAAGCTTCTCGAACCCCGCTATTTAAAGAGAGGTCTTTTCTCACTAACAAACAGCAAAGTCCACACAATAGGAAAAATCAGATTTTCCCCATACTTTTAATTTCTATTGAATATTTGCTTTTGTGCGTATGGAGGTCAGAGGACAACTTTCAGAGTTGGTTCTCCCCTTCCACTGTGTGGGTTCTGGAGCTCAGACCAAGGTCATGGGTTTTGGTGACAAGCCCTCTCAACAGGTCCACATGTTCCTCCAGTCGGATGTAGCTGTAGTGTTGCTGGCCAGGGGATTTGAGCAACGGGTTCAAGGTTTTGCATCAAAACTAACAGGCTGTGGTTACTTTGCCTTTCCATTTATTTCCTATACAAAATGAAGTAGAAGCTCATGGCAGATGTCTCAAGTGCAATAGCTTTTAAATAAATGAACAGCAAAAAAGCAAGAGGGTCCCCCACAATTTCTTTCTAAAAGGAATATGTCCTGAAAAGAAGTTTATTTCATTTACATTGCCTTTCCGGTCATAAACTGTGTAGTTTACATATTTTACAGAATTAAACTGCCAAGATAATTTCTTCTCCTTAAGTCAGACTTATGCCTACTGAATACAAGGAATCTGTGTCAGTGTTTCCATTTCATTCACTCAGCATCGTGAACAATATTAACAAGAGAAATGCATCTTGGTAATGGACATGAGCTATTCTCCAATTGTTCTTGGAGACATTCACGGTAAGCCCTTTAAGTTTTTCTTTTAAGTCTAGAGACAGTTGTGAAACTTGAGTCCTGCATGTCTGTCCTCTTGACTTCCAGATACGAGAGCCAGGAGAGCCAAGAGAGCCAAGACCAATGCTGGAAACCTAGCAGTTCCCCAGTAAATATCGGTAGAAATGTAATAGTTATATACGTGTGTCTGGAGAATTTCCAGTGGCCAAGTGAAACCTCCGTGACTCATGCCAAAGAAACTGATGGAATAACATGTCATATTTTTGTTGACATACTTATCAAAAGTAAGGAAAAATTCCTTGCAAGGGGGAAAACTCTAATGCATCATCCAAGATCAGTTTCTGTTATCAGCTGTCATTTTTGTGTGTGTTCGATCCTAAATTAATTTACAATGAATATAAATCAATAAAGTACAATAAAATTTGTATATAAATATACTTGGATATATATACCCTTTTGAGGAATGATTCCATTTAACAAATTCCTTTCCCTCTCTCCCTCCCTCCTCCTTCCCCCCCTCCTTACTTCCCCCCCTCCTTCCCCTTCCTTCCCTCCCTTTCTTCTTTCCTTTTCTTCCTGTCTTCTTCCTCTCCCTCCCTCCTTCTCTCCCCATCTCTCTCTTTTGTTCCTGCGTGTTTTGCCTGCATGTATGCATGTGCACCATGTGTATTCTTGGTGACCAATGAGGTGAGAACCATCAGAGTTACAGATGGTTGTGAGCCTCTGTGTCGATGCTGGAAAGCAAGCCTGTATTCTCTGAAAGAGCAATACATGCTCATAACCCTGAGTCATCTCTCCAGAACTCTGTTCTCATATAAGGAATACTTAATGGTATAGTAATGCTTAGTGTTACATGTCTTACAAAATCTGAAACCACAAATGAACTCACATCTCTTGACGTATGCTCCACATTCCTTTCCATTTTTTCCTTTCAGAAGTTTACATGTCATTTGTTTCAGTTAATTTTTTTCTGGTGCTGGGGACTGAACCTAGGGCTTCATGCATGCAAACACTCAATCAATGAGCTTGCAATCCTGAAGTAATTTTTTTGAGACAGGGTCTCAGTAAGTAGGCCTGGCCTGAATTTTAAAAAATAATCAAAATATTTCTCTAGAGAAAAATATGGGTAGAAGATGCAGATGGAAGTTCACAACATCTTCCCAAGGTTGTTGATTCAGCCGTGGGACTCACAGGATTGGCACATGAGTTGTGTGCTATTTGTTAGACAATACCTCAAGAATACAGCACATTTCATTCTAGGCGCTATTTTTGGCCCATTATTGAGAACCAGGAAGAACTAAAACAGGCTTATGTAAAGTGTGTAGTCATATTTATCCTCCAAGAGCTGTCATCAAAGAGCCTTGTTGAACCTAGAATGTGTGAATGTTTGCTGAATGTTAAAATGTTGAGTACAGCAAATTATACATCTTTGATGGGTATGTTGGTGGTCATTAAAGTACAAAATATCCATGAAGAACTTACTGTTGGGAGTAATGAATGTTGCTGTATCTTGTTACTCGATGTTGAGATGTCGTCATTGGGGAGTTGGCACCTATGGTTTGGCTTATGTGAATGTCTGGGCTCACCATTTGTGTCACTTGAATTTCTGGCCCCACCAAAATACCTCCACTCACCATTGGCCCCATACAAGCGTCAGTCATATTACTGTTGCCCATATCAGGCACACCAGGGCTAGCCACCACTCTCTCAGCATAGTATACATTGTGTGTGTTGGCTAACTCAGCAGGCACACAAATGTTCCCTTGAACATCATAGACAGGTGCCATTACAGTTTCGGTCACGACTACATTGGGAGGAAGCTGAGAATCAAAAACAATTGTCGTTGGTTGCACACAGGGGTCAGCGGTAGTGTAGGTCTCAGTTACTATGATGTCCCCGTGAATCATGGGCTCGGAGGCTGCTTCCATTTCTGCTTGGAATTCAGCCTCCGAGAGAGTCACTCCTGAAGATTCATTGACAAAGTAATTTGGCCCGAGCAAGGGGAGGTCAGTACTGATGGGTATACAGGCCTGGTGTGAAGGGAATGGCTCAATTTCTGTGTCCAAGCAGATTTCAGCCAGAGTCCTAAATTTTGGATCTAAAGTCTCCATGTAGCTCTCATCTAAGTCATCCACAATCCAACTGCAGCAGCCAATGGAGCCCACAGGAGACCCAACTCCCTCGTGATCATAAATGAGCAGGCAGTCGTTGGCTGGCCGGCCTTCATCTTCATCTGCATAAGCATATGCTTTCTAAGATGGGAGGAGAGATAGGAAATTGAGGTTTCTTTTCCTTTACAACAGCTAGTGAAGAATCATAGCAATGCTCCAGGGACTTCTGATCTAAAGATTTTGTGGACTAAATTGAGAAATAAAACAATATTTTGATGTATTACTAAATTACTGTTTTTAAATGGAGATCATTGTGTGCGTTAATGGGGCACAGAATTTGAGGAACGTATGTGAATTTCTCTAATTGGAAAACTAATGAATGATGTGATTTGAACCAGATAATATACAAATCTTTCGGATTTATAGTTCTTTGTTTCTGAGGTGACATGGAAATAAAATGTGTTTAATTGTTTTCAAAATACTTCTTTTTAAATGTTAACACATTTATTTATTTGTTTACACATTTATTTATTTGCATGCATGGGTGTGGGTATGTGTGTGCCATAAAACTTACCCGGAGGTCAGAGGACAACCATCAGGTTGGCTCTTTCCTACTGACATGCAGATCCTGGGGATCAAATTTAGGCTGTCAGGCTTGGCATTAAACATCCTTACACACTGGGTCATTTTCCTGGTCTCCAAATAGTTATGTAAAGAGAGGCTTTAGACAGATTTGGAACAAAAGGTAAAAACCCCCCTAAATGGCAGAGACTTTCTCAGAATGCTCTTGAAGCTCTTTGTGGCTTAAGCCACTCAAAGATTGTGTCAGGTCTGAGAGATGACCCCTGTGGCATTTTTCAAATTGCTATTATTGAGATGGTCTCACTGTGGAGCTCACACTGGCCTCAAACCCACCCTCCTCCTGCCTCAGGCTCCTGAAGGTGGGGTTATAGGTAGGTATCAGCATTCTTTCCTTCAAATTGCTTTTCAAAAAAAGCCCAATAGATGAAGGAGAGCAGAGGAAAGTGGACCAGTTGTTTAGAACAGTGGGGTGGAAGTAGACACCAGTCAGCTTCCTGTTTCGGCCCCTGAAGCTTCCATACAATCTTTTTCCCCCAGTTTTCAACCTCAACATATTTTCTTTTTAAAAATTATTTTTAATGTTTGATAATCTCACACATGCATGTAATGTGTTTTGACCTAACCCCCCCCATTCTCTCCTCTTCAATTCCTCCCCCTCCCTTTCCCTCTACTTACTCTATCTATCTCAGCTTCCTGTCACGGTTGTGGGACCATCTATTGGAGCACTACATTCCTGAAGAAAACTGACTCCCTCCTCCCAGTGCCATCACTTGCCAATGGCTCCTCAGCTAAGGGCGAGGCTTCAAGCCCGCCCCCCCTTCCCGCCCCATTCATGCTTCTGTTTGGTTTTATGTTACTTTTGGGGCAGGGATTTCTTATGTAATCCAGGCTGGCTTCAAACTCTCTTACATGTATGGGATTACAGACGTGTGCTGACATACGTGGCATTCCATGGGATCCTAGGGGTCTGCAGAATGTCATCAGATATAGTCTGACCTCCTTTTTCTATTATAAAATAACTAAATACGGCAGAGCGAGCTAGAGCAAGCGAGCGAGAGAGAGAGAGAAAGAGAGAGAGAGACGAGAGAGAGACAGAGACAGAGAGAAACAGAGAGCTGAGCTGCAAGCTTACATGCCAAATAGCTGAAGAATAAAATCTCCAGGTAAATCACATCTTTTACACTGCACTGCTTTTCATGTGCTCCGTGCTGGACTCTGCATTCTCCCAGAAGAAATGCAAGACTGGGATAGAGTTAAAAGCAACGGAATATATTTCTACACCTACAGTGTAGTGTAAGGCTTACCTCAGAGAAGTAGCTGTCCAGGAAGGCCATGTTCATGCCGGTGTCTTGGTATTCCCGAAGTGTCCCTATGGTTGAGCTTCTCTTCCTCAGAGTCCCTGTTGCTCCTCCGGCCACCAGGCCTGCGGTTGTCCCGATAGCTGTATTGAGCTCCCCTCCTGACATGCCTCCTTCTACTGTTCCTCCACCAGCATAAGTATTGGTGTAGATTTCTGAAAAGACAGGGCATTTCCATGACAATGCCCAGATTGCCTGGGTGGCTTATGCTCACCAAACATTTTTGGCCCTCCCCACCCCAAACATAGCATAGAAATGGTTCTAGAAAGACAAGCAATAAGTGATCATATGCAGAATTTTCAGGCTTGACAGAAGTAAGTGATTCTGAGGGGGACAGCTATAGGACATGGCTCATTCTCATGCATACAACCTTTGCCTGGGTGTTTAAAGACACCAAATGTACAGCCAGGTGCTGGATCTGTGCAGGCACAGCAATCCCTGTGCCCTAGTCCACTTGAGAGGAACAACCTATCCCCGCAAAGCAAGAACCAGGCTGCTCCCGGCAGCCAAATCTCCAGCCCTCATTCACATATGCACTAGAGAGCTGGCTCACTTGGGAACAACCCATATTTTTAGCACGGAAGTACCAGGCTGTGCGTACTAAGGATCATCACTAAAATCTCACGTCTGCTTTACAGACGGACAAGCCTGGCTTGGCTCAGTCATTTCCAGTCGTGAAGTACTTCTGAGTATTCTGTGCTGTGTGGGGCTGCTTACTAGGGAGCATGTAAGACACTGGTGTGGGAAAAGCACATGTGAACCAAAAGGGCTTTAGCTTATTGTTCAAAGAACATTCGTTGTTTCTCTTTTCTTCCTGTTCTTTAAATAACTTCTACTACAGATAAACATTACAAGAACCTGTACCCCATTCCAGGCACTGTTCTAATTATATACATTGTAGCACACAGGAAAATACATACATACATCATACCTAACACCAGCATGTTTATATATTCTATATAACATATGTGTAGTTTTAAAAGGATCTTTAAACCGGTGCTATTTAAATAATTTTTAAAGACATCTTGTTGTATAGAATTAGAATTACAACATCAGTTACTATGCAACCTTCATTTCAAGGAGAAGGATGTTTGTCTGGAGAGGCTGGGTCATTCTTAGGGACTTCTTACTAGTAAGTGGCAGAGCTAGGAACAAAATCCCAGTTATGGTTTCAGACTTTGGCTGTTAAATTGCAGTGCCATGCTATGCATAAGTGTAACTTCAGATAGCAAAGTTGAGTGGCCACCTCAGACATGTCACTTACCCAGAGTGTACTCCCAAGCAATGAGATTCACACATATGCTAATGTATAAGGTATTTCACTTGAGAGTGGTTTGATAGAATAATTATGTAA